TAAGAGACAGGGGGTGGGGGCCTGGGGGTGGCCGCGCCGTCCGTCCTCGCCTTCAGCAGGTGCCAGGTACCGCGCCCCGACCCGGGGGGAGACGCACCCCGAAACCCGCGCGGGGTCCGTGTGCCGGAGGTGTCGGCCGGACCCTCGAGACCCCTGATTTGGGGAGGGGGAGTGTCCTTGCTCCCTGGTGGGTGACCCTCAGATCGTGGCGGCTGGGGACAGGAGCGCCCGTCCCCACGTCCCGCTCGCCCAGTGGGACTCGACTCCGTCCCCGGCGGGAGGGCAGAGGTCCGGCTGTTACCAGATCCTGTTGCTCATTAATGAGAAACGAGCTGCCATCTCCCCGGGGAGCGTCCTCCTGGCACGACGTGACCCCTCTCCTCTGTCCTCGCTGCGGCTCTGACCCTCAGCCCCATCCTGCTGCCAAGTTACTTGCCCATCTGCGTTCTCCGAATTGATATTTTTGATATAAAACCTCCCAGGAGGGGCTCAGGGTTTCGCGGTTCCTTGTGTCCCACCTTTCACCTCTCAGTGCGATTTCGGGGCCTCTGACCTGCCGCAGGGCTCGTTTCCCCACTCCAAAGGGGAAAAGGGTCTGTGAAGGGGCACGTGCCGCTGCGAGCGGGTTGTGTTTGGATGTGGTGTGCGGCGTTGGGCATCTGGCGAGCAAAACAGAGCCGGGGCTTTAGTCGTGCTCGGGTGTGATGGGCTTTGGGGGTAGGGGAGGAGCGGAGGCACCGCTTCCACCCGAGTGATGGTCCCATGTTCTCGGTCCCTGCCCTGGAAAGGAGAAGCTGCTGCTAAACTAAAAATACCCGATTTCTCCCTCCTTTGGTTCTGGAACAATTCCTGATTTGTGTTTGAACCCGTGCGGGTTGGTTCTGCATCTCTGGAGCCAGTAGTGACCCACGGGCTGCAGTTTGGAGCCTGTCTTGCCTGGGCTCTGGGCAGCACAGCCAGATCAGCTGCGCGGCACCTTCGGCTGGTAAAAATCACCTGGGGGAGGCCGGTGTCCCCTTCCCGAGGCCTGGGGCTGGTCAGGCAGGCCATCACGCTGGCCACTTGCCCTCCTTGCCAGGACAGGCACAGTGGGACGGCTGCGGCTGCCCCCCTCAGCAGCTTTTCTTTGTAAGTGAAGCCTTTCACTTGGTTTGGTTTTTTTTTTTGCTATTGCATAAATTTCTCTGGGGGCACAACTTAGCTCATAAATCCCTTCCAAGACTCTTGGGGGAACAAAGCCCAGTGCTGCCTGAACCTGCCTGTTAGTTTTCCTTAAAGGGGGGTTTTGGTTGCTCCAAAGCCGTGTTGCTCCTGCCCGTCTCCTAGGAAAGACCTGAAGCCCCGTGCGTGCCCGGAGCCGTGGCTGCCCCGCACCAGGGGCCAGAGCAGGGCACAGAAATGCTGCAGTGAGCAGGGCAGGGATAATCCGTCCTCTGAGCCCAAGCAAGGGCTTTCCTAATTCACCAGCACAGACAGTTTAAGTCCTGGCTTTCCTTCCTGCGGCAGGGCGAGGCGCTTACGTTAACGGAGGAGTGTGTGCGCAGGGCAGGGGGGGTGCTGCTGGGCTGGGACACTAAATGCCCTCGACGCAGGCTTTGCTTTCCTGCCCTCTGCCCCGTCGGGGTCTGTGTCTCAGCTGCCTCGGGCAGGCTGGGAGGGAGCTGCTGGGTGCTGGTGTCCTCCAGCCCTCAGAGCCCAGGCGTGAGCGAGGGCTCCGGGCTGTGACCGTGGTTTCGGCAGCAAGAGCTCCTTGCCCCGGCTGCCCCTGGCTGGTCCAGCTCTGCTGATCCTGCCTCCTGCAAGCAGCTGAGGGCTGGGTAGGCTCCAGATGACCCAAGCCTTGGCTTACATTTAATTTGAACGATTTAATTGAATACCAGAGAAGCAGGATTGGATTGCTGGTTCTCAGGGGGCTGAATCCTTAAGGAACAGCGGCTGCTGCTCAGCACAAGCTCGTGTAGATGTGTACAGGGAGCAGAAAGGAGACTCGGGCTCTGGCAGCAAGGCTGCTCCTGGCGCTGGCTCCAATAGCAAGGCTTGTCCTTGAACAGTCATTATCAAAACACTGAGTGGCTCCGAGCCCCATGTGTGGAGAAGCTCAACGCCTTGACTTTGGACTGTAGGTGTGTATTACAGCCTCCGCTTCCCACATCTCAGCCTTGGCCTGCGGCCAGGCTGGCGACAGGTTGAAAGTGCTGCAAGTTTGTTGTGGTAAAGTCCCTTCTGGGCCAGGGAGGGGACAAACGGTGACAGACAAACAGATGAGCAAGCCCCTGTGTCCCCCGACAGGCTCTGCCATGCGCTGTGGCTCAGTGCAGCTGCGCGAGCAGCGTGTCGAGCACCTCAGTGGTCTGGTGTGCAGAGGGTTGTGCTGGAACTAGTCGGGGGTGGTTGTTATTCCCAACTGGAGGGTCCCAGCATGCACCTCTTCTCACTACTGGGATGAGAAACCCACTCAGCGGACTGAGCCGGGGTCTCTCCTCGCTGTCTTGGTGTCAGCAGGGATGTGACGGTCCTTTCTGTCCCTGCTGGCAGGTTCTGTGTCATTCCTGGGGCTGTACCTCGTGTTTGGCTACGGCGCCTCGCTGCTCTGCAACCTCATCGGCTTCGCCTACCCCGCTTATGTCTCGTAAGTACCCGTGGCCCAGCCCAGCCTCCCTGCAACATCTGGGGAGTGTTCCCTGCCCTTAGCCGAGGGTCTCCCTGGCCACTGACCAGGCAGTTATGATTGGGAAGCTCTTGAGTCCTTCCTGAGAACATTGGGACCTGGCATGGTCCCAGCTTGGGGCACCTCGTAGGCAGGTTTGCTCCAGGGTTTGGAGGACTTGGGAAGGAGGTGCCTACCCTGGCAGCAGGACCGCAGCAGCAGTGCCCTGCCCCTCTCCTACCGCAGCATAAAAGCCATCGAGAGCTCCAACAAGGAGGATGACACCACGTGGCTGACGTACTGGGTGGTGTACGGCGTCTTCAGCATAGCCGAGTTCTTCTCCGACACCTTCCTCTACTGGTTCCCCTTCTACTATGCTGGGAAGGTAACGGCTTGCTGGGGTTGGAGTCCTCCTTCCTGCTGGCTGACGGTGGAGAAACCAGGCGTGGTGGGCTCTGCCCTGTTAGCGGAGCAGTGGTGGGGCCGCGGTCCAGTGTGGAGCCAGCTGAGGTCCTGGTACCTCCAGCGAGCTCCAGCCTTGGGCCAGGCTTGGGGGGGGGATTGGAGCAGTTCAGCTGCTGCCCCATCCCTGCCCCTGCTCTGCCCGGCCACCTTCCAGCTCTGCACATCTCCTCCCCGCAGTGCCTGTTCCTGCTGTGGTGCATGGCCCCCGTGTCCTGGAACGGGTCGCAGGTGCTCTACCAGAAGGTCATCCGGCCCTGCTTCCTCAGGCACCATGAGGCCGTGGACAGCATGTTGGGCAACCTCAGCACCAAAGCCCTGGATGCGGCTTCCGGCGTCGCCCGGGAAGGTAACGCGGGTCCCCCGGCCCCCACTGTCCCGCTCCGTGTCCAGGGCAGGCGGTTTCCCGTGGGGACACGGGCAGCTCTCGTTTTAAGGACCGGCCGGTCTCTCCGTGACCACGGGCCATGCTCTGGCAGCCGCAGCCCCGTCCCGCCGCGGTGGCAGGAGCCCAGCGGGGCGCTCGCTTTCCCCCTCTCCATAATTCTCTTCTCTTCTCTTTGCGCCTCCCGGTCCAGTCCTGCAGACTCTGATCAGCAGCCGCGCCCGGCTGGCGGCCCAGGTGGCACCGCAGCTCAGCTTGTCTGTATGTAAAGAGCCGCCGTTGCCGCTGCCGCCGGCGGGAGAAGGGCCCGTTCTGCGTGAATCGCCCCGCCGCGACCACCACCCGCGGTGGCCAGCTGTGGCCACCTTGGCGCTGGCCAAACCGACCTCCTGCTCTTGCAGACGCCGG